AAGTATATCTCTGGAATTCTATTAAAATTATAGAAATTTCAATAGCTTTTGTTTGTATTCTTCAAGGTTTTGAAGTTCTTTTCTGTTTGTAATTAGAAATAAGTTTCTAATAGCAGGATCCAGATCTTTAGAGTCATCTAAAAAAGGTTTTTTTATTTCAAAGTAGTCTTTTAGTAGAGTATCAAATTTATATATTTTAGATAAGGCAATTACTGTTGATTTGGTTTTATATCTATGTGTAATTGGCAATCTATATGGGAGAAGTTGTATTTTTCTGGTATTTCATCTGAGTAGTTTGGCAGTATTATTCAGGTATTATTTAGTGTTATTTGTGTGATCTTTTTTATAATATATAGATCAAATACTGGTTCACTTCTTATAAATCCTTTTGCATATTTTATTATTTTGGTGATTGTGTTTTCTGGCATTGTATTGAAGTTGTAGTTTGTAATATAGTCAATGATAACCTTTTGTTGCAACTTAGTTTCAATAGTCTTTTATGTTTATGTATTAGTAATTATGACACTGTTAATTAGTTTGCATTTTTCTATAGCATATTTGAGTAATGCTTTATAATCTTCTTAATAGGTTGGTCATGTTGCTTTGTTTCTAGTAAATGTACTAAAAAATGCTATATCCAGGTATTTGAATTTTGTATTAATTGCATTAGGTATATAGAGACTTGTTGGTTTATGTGTTAATTTGTATTCAATAAATTCTTTTATTTCTTTTTTTATTTGTAATAGTTCAAGTATTTTGTTGTAATTCCAGATTTTTATATTGAAAGATTTGGTAATTTTATTTGCTAATTTATCTTGTATTGTGCTAATCTATTGCATTTCTGTATTCTTATTATTGCTTTGCCTTGTAATATTTTTGCTAGTGGCCTGACTATATGTAAGTTTATATTTATGTTTATTCAAACTATTGCTAGAGATAGTTGCATGCAATTGGTTGTCCTATTGCATTTTTTCTGTATCTGTATCTTTCCTATTTATATTAGTTTCATTTATCTGCATATTCAGAGTATTAGTTTTGTTTAAACTAAGGTCTTGTGGCTCTGAGATACCTGAGCTGTTGTTGACTAATACACTGCTGTTTATAGTATTTGTTGTATTGCTATCATCTGTGCTAATCTGCATTTTACTGCTTTTGTCAACTAAGTTTGTTGTTGTGACTTTTTATGTAACTAATGATGTTATTTTGGAATTCTTCAAGAGTGAGCTAGGTTGCTTACTTTTTTGTGCCAACAAGAGCAATGAGAGTAGCAGTGTGTTTTTTTTTATTGTTGCTATTAGAAAGCTGAGTTGTTTGTGTTTTTGCTATAGTTTTTCTAATTACTGTTATGTTATGCATAGTTGTATTTATTAGAACTTTCTTAAGAGAGTTATATAAGAAAACTTTTTTTTGTAAGTTAAAAAAGCTTTCCTTTATACTGCTATTCTGGTTTGCTATCTTTTTCTTCTTTATTTTGTATTATTTAACTTGTGCTATTTTTATTTGTCTTTTTGTTATACACAAGTGCAGGTTTGTTCAAGGCTTTTTTATAATTATTTAATATTAGTATCAGTCTTTATCTTATCTAGATTTTATTTTTTATTTTTTTGTGATGTACAGGAAAGAGTTTTTATTTGCCTATTTAAATATAATTATAAACAACTTTAAATACAACAAATATATTAATAATAACATTATCAAAAGATGCTTTAAACTTTAATCAAATCCAAAATTAATGATTAATAATATACTTGACTGTTATAAGAACCCAATCAAATTCAATAACATTAGAATAAACAATAATGTAATTAAAGCAATAACAAATATTAGATAATATTTTTGGCAATAGAAGATTAGCCAAAATCTTAGATTATATAATCTATAATAATAGCCAATCAAAATTAAGAATTATCTAAATATAATTATAGTTATAATATAAGATAAATATACTTTTTGTATAACAAAATTAAATAGATATTAAGTAATATATATTATAGCTCTTACTAACTCTCAAAACATTAAACTTCATATCCAATAACACTTTAACCAATAAATATTATTTAGAAATACTAACTAACAAATCTTTGAATCTGACTGAAAAAAGAATATAACTGCAAATCTTACATCAACTTTCACTAATATAATAAAGTTTTTAAAGAATTTACTATTAATAAAGTAACCAAAATATTTTCTTACCTTCTAAACAACAAAGCCTGTGGCCTTTCTGGCATTAGCTACAAAATATTAAAACATGCAGATATACTTTTCTTTCAAGCAATTACAGCTCTATTAAATAAATATATTATTACAATCCAAATCTTCAAATAATAAAAAAAAGCAGAATCTTTCTAATTTTTAAAAAACCTATATTTAACAGCAACTTAATCAATACTAGACCTATTAGTTTTTTTGAACATGCCAAAAAACTATATACAAAACTTTTCATAAACTATCGAAACCAGCATTGAAGAAGTTTGTTTTGATTGGTTAATTGTAGATCTCAGATTATAGCTTAAATCATATCTCAGATCATACCTTGAATTATATTTCAAAATGAATTCATTAACTTATTTCTGATTGTAAAAATTTAATCAACTATATGTTTTGACCTTTCTGACATTGTTAAGACCGATAAAACTTTTGTTTCTTATTTACTTTTCTAATCTTTTGTATCTTATTGTATCTCAAGTCAAAAACATTAGCTTTATAGCTAATATATAAAATGTTATGCTAGTTGTTGTATTTTATATATAATAAAAATTTTTTTCATTTATTATGATGATTTTTACTTATAAAAGTACTTTAAAAATTACAATTAATTGTATAAAAAAAAAGATTATCACCAATTATATTTATTTTAATTTTAGCCAATCAAAATAAACTTCTTCAATGCTATCTAAACCAAGTATTTACCAAACATGAAATCTTATTATTCTTTAATTATATTGCTCTGTTAGACAATAGTACTACTATATCTATTCACATATTTAATAATATAATTAAAAATGTATTTTGTAATTCCAAACAGTTTGACTTATATTTTAAGATATAAGCAAAGCATATGACTTAGTTAATCTAAATTTATTCAAAAAAGCACTCAATCATATTAATATGTTATCAAAGTTAGTTAATATATTTACTAATTTATTAACAAATTATCGAAATAAAGTAATTATTAACTTTGGCCTAACCAATCTATATATAGTTAAAAATAGAATAAATTAAGAAAAAACTATAACATCTCTATTCTGGCTTATTTATTATAATTACTTATTTACAGAATTGCATCTCATACAAAGATTACTCACTATTTACAATATGAAAAACTCACTTTTAAACAACTAGATTTCAGAGTCTTTATACATTTATATTTGTATTAGCTTATATGGATAACACACTCTGGATAACAAAAATAAAACAAGAACTAAAGCAAATTACTCAAACTGTCTCATTCTTTTATATAATAGTTAATATTTAAATCAATGCTGCCAAATTTATCTTTATTTTTAATTCACCTACATCTAATATTTAATTTTTTAATTCTACTTTAGAATCTATACCTACTAGCCAACTATTTAAGTTTTTAGATTATTAATTCATACTTAATAACAAACAAATACAACAAATTAAAATTATTTAAGAAAAAACACTTAAACTTACAAATATTGCTATGGTGTAGGACACCTAAAGGCAGAAGTTATGTAACTTGTTCCATTTTACCTTAAAATTTAAAAAAGTCTCAAATCACTTAAAAAACTGGTTTTTACATAAGTGAAATACAGATTATATAACAATGGCAAAATAGAGTTTGAACTAGCATAGCAGCTTAATTCTGATTGGTCAATCGATGAAATATCGGTAAAGAACATAATATATAAATTTAAATATTACATTTTATACTCTATAACATTAAAATAATCCAAAAAAATATTGAATAATCTAGTGGTTAGTAATAGAGTGTACTTTTTATTTTATAAATTAAGATAATTTAGTAATTAGAGTAAGGTAAAATGCACCTTGATTAATAAGTTTTAGATATTTTTTTTTAAGCTTGAAAAATAGTGATTCAATAACATTTAGCTTTTTTTGAATATAGGATTATTTGACTAAGAAACAAATTGGTAAAGAGCATGGCATATAAATTCAAAGATTACACTTTATGCTCTATAACATATTAAAATAATTTGAAAAAAGGTTAAATAATCCAGGAGTTAATGATGAGTACACTTTTTGTTTTATAGATCAAGGTAATTCAGTAATTAGAGTAAGATAAAACACACCTTGATTAATAAGTTTTAGATATTTTTTTTAAGCTTGAAAAATAGTGATTTAATAATACTTAGCTTTTTTTGAATATAGAGTTATTTAAATAAGTTTACAATATATTAAACATGGGGTGTGTGTAAGACATATACAATTACATGCTTTGTTCTATAGTTAGTTTGGTTTTTATATTGTCTATACTCTCCATAAGCATGTATTACACTTATTGATATTTGATAGTTCATTTCATTTAATTTATATTATTCATTATTTATCTTGTTGTCTTGTTATTAAACTATATATTAGTTAGTAAATGATTCAGTTAATAAAGATGACTTATATATATTAAGACAGGTCAATATATTAAAAATTATTGTTATAAATTAAAATTTACTATTTAAAAATATTAATTAATAATTTTTTTTTTTTTAACTTCAAACTCTACAAAAATTGGGCTAATTAGAATAAAGCTCACTATACTGTTTTGATCCAATTGTATTTTTTATACAAGATCATTAAAATTGATTATTTTATTTTATTTTTAATTACATATATTAAATTTTATTTGCACTTATTTAACATTTATTTATTTATTATTATTTATTTATTTTTAATCACACTTTAATTTTTTAATTTAATTTTTATTTATCATTATTTATTTATTTAATCGCACTTAAATTTTTTTTTTTTTTTTCTTTAATTACACATTAAATTTTATTTATTGAATTCACCCTATTTTCTCATATAAATGAACCTAATTCATCTTGAGGAACTCTTCTATGGAACTTGAATTTTTTATACACATATTCTGCTAACTTTCTAGTTAATCCTTTATAGTATAACTCCATATATCTTTACATTTTGCAAGCAAACTTCCTAATTGTAATGACATCTACCAACTCAAGCACTTGTAAAACAATTTTTTGCAAGCCAGTCCATGTATAATCACAGTGATCTCTTGCATATCTTTTAGCTACACCTTAATATCTTTCAATAAAATTAAGTTCGCAGTAAAACTTTAAATAAAAAATACAAATATAACTAGTACCTTTGATTAATTCTACAATGACAGATTTTTGACTAACAAAGTCTAGTTAAGAGGCCATAATTTTTCTCAAATAACAGTCTATTCAACCTAAATCCTTTTTTTTTTTACACTTTTCACAATCTAAGTTTAATCTAGTTTTTCAAAATCTTCTTTTTTCTAACATCTTCTTTATTCCTTTTGGCTTTTTTCTCATATCAAGATCTGGGTAATTGTTTCCAAATACAACTTTCTGCTCTTTACATTGGCTATTAATATCAATAAAAGTTGTTGGCCACATAATACTTTGCTTCCTTCTGGGCTCTTTGTTCATTCTTTGTACTATAAGGGCATCTTTTGCAAATGCTGCATAATTCATACTGTTATCAAAAGCGAAGACAGCTGTTGCACCAGAAAACTTTGCTTTAAAAATAAGAATGGCCTTTTCTTTGATTTGTTTTAATAAATGCTTAATTGTCCAGTAATCCTTATCATTTTTACTAGATGTAAGATAACAACGCACTTCTGCAGAAACATTAGAATAGTTTTTTTGTTCATCTTCACTTAGTCACAATTGGCCACATGTCTCCAAAATAAATTTACTAACTATTATTGCTTGCCATTCCCTTTTTTGCATAGTGGCATTATCTCATCATATACCCAGATTTCTTTTTTTGCATCATTTGCATAGAAAATACACTCATCATAAGTGACCAACATCAGCTCTTGCTTGCTCTCTCTAAGCATTGGTAGAACAGATTCTATTTTTTTTTCTTTATATATTACCATCCATTGCTCTAAGACCTGCATTCTTTCTAAAAACTTATTCTAATATTTAACAACATCCCTCCATTCATATCTATCAAAGTACATACCCTTTCAGTATTTTTAAATTGACAACCTAAAATGTTCAACCATCTTTTAGCTGTTTTTAAGCTAATTAACATCCTTGTTTCTCCTGTATATATAGGCAAAATAGCAGAATCAATGTATTGTTTAACCAGAATGTACTAATGTCATTTACTCCTGGTTCTTCCTGTATTCACTGTCTACATTTTAGCACCACATCTTCATTGTCAATTAATCATTTGTATTTTTAATGTTAATCATGACTAGAAAATAGAAATGATTCATGATGTAAATAAAAATTACTAAGAAACCAGATCCTTTTAGATTTATATAAGTTTGGATTAATATAAACCATATTTGCTGCAGCTTGGCTTGCTTTTAACTTTCTATAACCATCATATAGCCTTATGAAGTATTCATAAACAGTGTGTCATTCATTATATTCAAAAGCACTGAATGTCTTTTCACTTTTTAGAAGATTTTCCTAAAGCTGAGTGATTACATCACCAAATTCAAAATCTGCTTCTTTGTTACCATCATTATCTCTACTATTACTATTATTCTCTCTTTTATTATTACCACCATCCTCACTTTCATTATTATCACTATCCTCACTTTTACTATTACCACTATTCTCACTTTTATCTTCATTATTCAATTTGGTCAAAACTGAATACACTGGAGGTACTGATTATAATACTGAATATATTGGTAGTACAGTTGTTGAAGGCCCAAAAAACCTAGTAATTTTGGGAGTTCCTTTAGCAACATTGGTAAGTGTGCCAGAAGCACCAAACTTATAATAGTAGGTTAATTTAGGAAAACCCTTTATTGTCTTTATTTTAGAGGTTTTTTTTATATAAATAGTATTGTAAGTAAATGCATTCACATTCTTTCTTCTTCATCTATCTCTTTATTCTCCTTCTGATTACTATATTTCTCTGAATTTTGTTCTTCAACATCATCATCTTTCTCTTCTTCTAACATATCCACTTTCTTTTGTCTTTTCTGAATGACCTTCTTCCTTTTATTATTATATTCATGAAGTTTAGTATACTTTTTCTTTTGGGCTTATTTAGTTTTTTTAAGAAATTTTTTTTTTTTTTTTTTTTTTTTAAAAAAAAAAGTGAATTCAACTAAAGTTTACAATAATAAAGTGTGACAAAACTTTAATCCTTAATGATTTTGCAAACTGTCATGCAGGTTAGTAATAGGTTTGTTCCTATAAAGACTTAGAAGATTTGCACATATTTAGTATACTATGTATCTTAACACACACTACCAACAATGTTATTACCACTCAAATGATTATAAGGTGAGACACAAGTGATGATGAATCTTCATTAATTGGCTATGGCTTATTTTATTATCAAAGAAGGAAGAAAGTAACTTTTATTATTAGGCTTTTACCTCTCTATATTCTAATTTGTAGTTTATTAGACTTAAATTAATAATATACTAATATACTATTACAATTTATGTCACAACTTATTATTAATCGCTTTTTGTGAGAATTTTTTTTTTGCCATATCTTATTATTCAGCAAAGACAGTACTGATCCAAAGTGAATCTCTCTTGCTTGTAATCAATCACAAATTAAATTATTTATGTTGGATTTAATTGTTATGAATATAATCCTTCATTAGTTTTAATATATGTATAATAATAACAGTCTTTGCTGTAATCTTATTATATAATTCTGCATAAACCTATGATCAATTGTTAGCCAATCAAATGCAAACAGACATTTTATTAGTCGATCACGATCACGTTATCTGTTCCATTTTGTGCTGATAATATAAAAGTACAACTTTTTAAATGAATATATCTTGATAATTAGTAATTGTATTTCTAAAAAAAAGGTTGCTATTTTGTAATAAACTGGTTTAGCTACAAAATAGAGACTTTTTTTTTTGTATTACTTAAGTATAATTTTGAATTATATTTTAAAGATACTTAATTTTAATTCTGTCTTTAGGTGTCCCATAGCATAGTACAAAAAAAAATTACAAATAAACAAATTATTTATATAATTAATACTATTATTATACTTATACTTAAATATAAATCTCTTACAGCTGTGAGAGCTGAGCATATAGTGATCAAATCTACAGAAGAACTTTTTACTTCCTTGAATTCCATTGCATCATCACACTTTAAGGAAACATCACAAAGCCCATCATACAATATATTAGTTAATCCAGACTTATGCTATAACAAATGGCTAGCCTATCAAGGCCTATCTTTACTTCCACACCTACAAACTCTTTATTCCTTTCTTGAACATATATATCCTTACAATTATATACTACTTAATCTTTACAACTTTACACTAACAATATCAATTAAACTAGACTATAGTAAATGCTTAATACACTTATCAAATGAACCAGAACCCTTATCTGACCACTTTATCCTACAACGATCTGGTTATGGATTCTATCTATCAATACCTATTTCTTCAAAATATTCTCTAATACTTAATAACACACAACATACCAAACCTGTTCTTGAAGATAATGCTGTAAATTACACT